ACCATAACTCACAGAGGCTTGGAGCCAGAACATTGAAAACAATAAGAAAAAGGTAAAATCTAGTGGAGAAAATCTAGTGGATGAGAAACTGGAACATGTGTTGGTGTAAAGTTGGCATCTCATGACCGTTAACACAGAAAATCTGAAGTGAACCCTGAGTGCACAGTCACACGCCTGGGAACATTTTGGCCAAGGACAGATCACATATGTGATGGCGGTTCCAGAAAATTAGAACAGAGCTGAAAAGTGCCCACCACTTCGTGATGTCATGACCACGGCAAGGTCGCAGTACGGGGACTAGTCAAGAGTCTGTGGGGACGCTGGGGTAAACCAGTCCTATAAAAAAAGTACGGTGCCTCCCGTTAGGCAGAGTGCACGGTACTTGCTAAGGATGGGACATGAACAGATTACTAGTTCGTGCATTGACAATGCAAACAAAATGTTTGAGAGGCCAACAGACAGACAGAACTAGCGCAGGAGAGAGGGAGGCACCCTATCTGATGCTCCACTCCCCAGATGCCTGCAATGGCCAGGACTGGGCTGGCCAAAGCTGGAAGCTGGGAGCTCAACCCAGGTGTCCCACATGGGTGGCAGGGACCCAGCCATCTGCTGCCTGCCAGGATGTGCCTTGGCAGGAGGCAGGAACTGGGGAGACGGATATTGAACCCAGACACTCCTGTGTGGGATGTGGCCATCTTAACTGCTGGGTTCGATGCCTGTCTTATCCTGTATGTTTCACCCTTCTTTTACAGTATGCATTACTTATTTTAAGAAGAGTGGACTGTGCTGTGTCCGCAGCAGCCTCTTGTATCGGTGTGTGTGTGTGTGTGCTGCATCTCAACTACTTTTCCTCTTGTGTCTGATGTCAGCTCGTGTTTTGTTCATCATGGCCCTGGGGGACCCGGCTATACCATAACCTACCCAACATCTACAGTGACAGCTGTGTGGTAGGCTCTAGAAGAATCAGGACTCACATTCTGCTGAGACCGCTTCAGATTGGCAAAAAAAAAAAAAAAAAAAAAAAAAAATCATTTAGGAAACCGGATAGATGCGATCAGTCAAGTGTAACACGTAACATATTCCACTGACCTAGCAACTACACTCCTACATACAATCAGAGCACAACGGGTCCCAGATGCCCCCAGAGGCACAGAAAAGAATTTTCACACTGTTTGAAACTGCAAAAAAATAAAAAATAAAAAAATAAAAATACATCCTCCAAACCTACCAGCTCTAACATCCACTTGCGGTTGAAATGTTGATGTCACGCACATGCAAGAGAGTGGGTGAGCTGCAGGGACACCCAGCTCCATGGCTGGATCTTGGGGGTTGAGGCCGAGGAGAAGAGACCAGGGACAAAAGAGTTTCGTCCTGTTTAATACCATGTAGATTTAAAAATAAACAAAGAACACATCATGTGTGTTTCTGGTTATATTCCAAAACACAGCGAAAGTGCTGCTTAGGGATTTACAATTAAAAGTTAAGGTACAAAGAAAAGCAAAGAAGCAATGATCTTAACTTAAAGTTGGGGTGTAGTTGGCCCTGGTCGGGGTTACCCTGTGGGCAGGAAGTGGTTCTGACAGTGTGTGTGGAGTTGTGGCTTATTTGAAAGATTTATCTGAAAGGCAGAGTGACAGAGAGAGAGAATTGACAATCTTTTGGCTGATTCACTCCAGATGGCCACAACGCCTTGGTCTGGGCCAGGTGGAAGCCAGGAGACAGAACTCCACGCAGATCTCCCACGAGGGTGGCAGGAGCCCAAGTACTTGGGCCGTCTTCTGCTGCCTTCCCAGGTGCATTAGCAGAGCTGGGTGGGAAGTGAAGCAGCTGGTGCTCACTCATATGGTATGGTGGGGAGCTTAGCCTGCCGGGCCACAGCGCTAGCCCAGGTTGGAGCTCCTGAGGGACAGCAGTGCCTGGCTGTGGACCTGGAGAGCAGTTCCCCTCCTGATAATCAGAGAGCTGACACCATGTGCGACTGCGAGTTACAATTCACAAGGAAGTGCCTCTCCATCTTGTCTCTGCGGAGTCTCCCCCCGGCCCCCGACCTCTGACCCTGTTTGCACTTCCTTCATTTTTTCCCGTCTAAAGCATAAAATAAACTTCCCTCCTTCCCTCCCCCTCCCCCTCCCCCCGGAGGTCCCCAGCCACCCGTGGTCTCACTCTATGGGCTGCCCTGTCCTACCAGGGTCTTTGCTGCTGCTGGTTCCTTTCCTGGTCCTTCTGCCTCGGCCTCTGACCCGGAAGTAATTCCCTGACATTCCCCACTCCTAAACACTGAAGTTTCCCGGCTTTCCCCTGCCCGGCAGGCTTTTCCACGCCCCAGCTGTCTGTGCTAAAAGCAGGGAGTGCGTGCTCCTAGCTGCCGGCTTCATCTTTTGCTCACCCAGGTCCTTGGCATCTGCCTAGCTCTAGAGGAACTCATCTGACTCCTTGCTCCCACTGCACACCCAGATTTGCACCAGGCTAGAAATGCTGACTCCTCGCTCTCTGAACCGGCCGCAGCGCCAGACGCTATTCTATGCTCCTACTGTGTGCCAGGCACCTGGTTTGTCGTCAGCAAGAACATTAATATTACGTAAATTTTTGTACAGGTACTAACTCCACGATCCCAACACCATTAATCCACTATTGTGCAGAAGATGGAAATCTTCAGACCCAAAGCAGCACTTATATCCTCATCCTCCATGGGAAAGGCCTCTTAAATCTGTATTATGGGGTCAGTGCTGTGGCGCAGCAGGTTAATGCCCTGGCCTGAAGTGTCAGCATCCCATATGGGCACCGGTTCTTGTCCCGGCTGCTCTACTTCTGATCCAGCTCTCTGCTGTGGCCTTGGAAAGCAGCAGAAGATGGCTCAAGTCCTTGGGCCCCTGCACCCACATGGGAGACCTGGAAGAAGCTCCTGGCTCCTGGCTTTGGATCGGCTGTGCTCCGGCCGTCATGGCCAATTGAGAAGTGAACCAGTGGATGGAAGACCTCTCTCTCTCTCTCTCTCTCTCCCTCTCCTCTCTCTGTGTAACTCTGACTTTCAAATAAATAAATAAATCTTTTTAAAAATCAGTATTATGAGCCCCTCTGCCCCTGCATCTGTGTCCACTACCTCTAGCCTAGCCTGCAGTAGTACACTAACTTCCTAACACACAGATGTCTCTCAATTTTAAGTGTCTTTGAACAGGGCCACCAAAGAGGAAATTGAGGGGCGGGTGTAGACACTAGCATCCATCATCAGAGTGCCTGAGTCCTAGTCCCCGCATCCTACTGAGGTGTCCCCTGGCAAGCAGCAGGTGATGCATCAAACAGCTAGGTCCCTGTGCACCGCGTGGGAGATCCAGATGGAATTCTGGGCTCCTGGCTTTGGCTTTGGCTCAGCCTCAACTCTTGCGAGCATCTGGGGAGTGAACCAATGGATGGACGGTCTCTGCCTTTCAAATAAATAAATAAAACAAGAACTGATTGATAGCTGAATGGTGGAGACTCGCTCCGCTTACGTCATCTGCGAGGTGGAAGTGGCAGGAGGTCTTCAGGTTTTGGGAGCTTCCCCTCGGGATGTAGTTGTCATGAGAGGGCTGGGCACACAGGCTGAGCTGGCTCCCTCCCAGGCGCTCATTCCTCCTCCCTGGTCCCACCAAATGCCTGAACTCATCGGGTGGCCCGATCTTGGGCCTTATGACAAAAGAAAGCTTCGCTCCTGCTCCTCGGTTGCTTGTGTCAGGTATTTGAGTTGTGTACCCCGGGCACCGCTTGTTGGTGTTCACGTGGTCAGTGTGGAACTCTGCTAGGTTTGAGACGCCCTCGTGGCCTGGGGGTGCTCGCTTTTGCTAGAAGGCCGCAGTACGCTTTCCCTCTTCACCCTCTGCCTCTCCCTCTCTGTAACTCTGCCTTTCAAATAAATAAATAAATCTTTTTAGAAATACATAAGATAGCCCTTATCTTCCATGAGTTTCCCTATCCTCTCCTCATCACCTTCCCCTAGCTCACTGCATCTAAACCCCCAAGTCCTTTCTGTCTAGAAACTTCCCCACACTAAAATTGCATGAGCTTCTGGAGCCAGCCGCATCTTGGGGAACTTTCTCTTGTTTTCTGTGTGCCCCCCCATCACACATTAATATGATCTGTACTCCTTTTCTCCTGGGAATCTGCCTTTGGTCAGTTTAACTCGCAATCCTTGGGAACGTTGGGGGGACTGAGACGTTTAACCTCCCCAACACCTACAACTCGTGATATGATCATTGTGCAATCAAACTGAGGTTTGGGGAAGTTACAGAAATTTACGGGTAGAACAGGCAGGAGTTGCATCAAAGCACTTTTACCTCTCTCTCTCTCTCTCTCTCTCTCTTCTTCTAACACCTTAAGCTTTTCTTTTGCTCCTCCAGGGAGCACGCTGTGCGTAGCTGCTCCTGCTGGTTCCTCCCAGCTGTGAGTCAGGACAGGAGAGGAAGCACACCTCCAAGTGACTGAAAATCCCCATCCCAGACTCAGTCAGAGGAGCCGGTTCCCAGCTCTGGGTTTCCGGCCTTGCACCCGGAAAGCGTTAATCACTCACTGAGCTTTGATTGATTAGTGAGAGACTGGGTTACACCACCCAGCCCTTCTGGGACAGGCATAAGGGGGCACTGAATGACACAGGCTGGGGAGCCTGGTGTCAGAGAAAGGCATCCAGCCCCCTGCAGGATCTGAACCCACTACGCCGCCTCCCACCTGCTGCTCTTCCATTTGAGTTCTTTAGAAAGGTACCTGCAGGTGAACACTGTAACCCTGCTGCGAACCCATGGAAACAAAGCGGGAGGCGCGGCAGTTTGGCGCGGGGATCAGAACAGGTTGTTCCAAGAGACTTTTCAGGTTTGTCCACCCAGAAGAGCTCAACAAGAAAAAAAAAAAACCATGGGCTTCCAGCGTGCCACTGGAAAACAGTCCCATTGCTTCAGCTCAGGACTCGCCGAGGGGTAAGGCAGGTGCGCTACTTCCAAGCGCTGACCCAGAAAGGGGAGGTTCGCTCTCACCTGGAAGCCGGTGTTGCTGAAGCCCTCAGCCCCGCGGGCCGCTGCTGTACCCTGCAGCTCCATGCTCCTCCCGGCTGCTGCGCTCGCTGGTGTCTGCTCTCCAGCACGTCGGTGCCTGGGGAGGAGAACAGCGGATGAGACGCCACCTGCCGTCCGCGGACCTGGGCGCTGCTCGGGCTGGGAGCTCCCGCGTCTACCTCGGACCGCCCGGGGCTCACCCGGCTAGTCCAGGAGGGGCGGGCTGAGCTGGGGTGGGGGGTGGAGGCTTCGGCTGCAGGCCCGCCCACCCCTGCCTTCCCTCTCTCCACAGGTTCGGGTCCGCATTTCCATTCCACACCTGGAGTGGCTAGGTCAGGAATGGAGGAACAGAAGGGCTGGCTGCTCCCTGGGCCTCTCTCTCTCTCTCTCTCTCTCTCTCTCTCTCTCTTTCTCTGCACCAGGCACATGCTAAGTACTTGGGATTATCAGTTGATGGAATTGAACTCCTTATCATCCCTTTAGGAACTTGGAGAGCCTGAACACATTGCCAATTTTCCTGTACCTCCATGTGTTCAAATGGAATTTAGAGATAAATCAAGACTAGGATAAACATATCACCGTATATACTGTAGGCTATGTACTATATAGTATACAATATATTTTACTCATACTTACCATAATAATCATTGCTATTATACTATATGCTATATAATACATACAATATGCTGTAGTTGTGTAGTATGTATTATAGGTATTTATATATTACACTATATTATATATATACAGAATCACAAATATACTTTAATTTATATTCTATGAGGGAGCTTCAAAAAAGTTGTGGAGGAGCTGGGGCTCTGGCGTAATAGGTTAAGCCATGGCCTGCAGCGCCGGCATCCCATATGGATGCTGGTTCGAGTCCTGGCTGCTCCACTTCTGATACAGCTCTCTGCTATAGCATGAATGTAGCAGAGAATGTAGTGGAGGATGGCCCAGGTGCTTGGGTCCCTGCACCCTAGTGGGAGACCTGGAGGAAGCACCTGGTTCCAGCCTGGCCCAGTCCTGGTCATTATAGCCATTTGGGGAGTGAACCAGCAGATGGAAGACCTCTCTCTCTCTGTGTAACTCTGCTTTTCAAATAAATGAATAAATTTTTAAAAGAAAAAAAGGTTGTGGAAAATGTGTATTTTTTAAAATACTGTATTTATTTACTTGAGAGATATAGCTACAGACACAGAGAGAGACAGAAAGGTCTTCCATCTGCTGGTTCACCCCCTAAATGGCTGCAATGGCTGGAGCTGGGCCAATCCAAAGCCAGGAGCCAGGAGCTTCTTCCAGGTCTCCCATGTGGGTGTAGGGGCCCAAGCACTTAGGCCATCTTCCACTGCTTTCCCAGGCCAAAGCAGAGAGTTGGATTGGAAGAGGAGTAGCTGGGACTAGAACCAATTCCCTTATGGGATGCTGGCGCCACAGACAAAGGGTTAACCCACTATGTCACAGTGCCTGCCCTATCTCCGCCCCCCCCCCCGCCTTTTTTTTTTTTTTTTTTAAAGGAAAAAGATTTATTGGGGCTGGTGCTGTGGTTAAGCATATTAAAGCCCCAACTGCAGCGCTGGTATCAGCTGCTCCGCTTCCAATCCAGCTCCCTGCTAGTAAGCCTGGGAAAACAGCAAAGGGTGTTTCAAGTCCTTGGCCCCTGCACGCACGTGGGACATCCAAAAGAAGCTCCTGGCTCCTGGCTTTGGCCTGGCCCAGCCCTGATTATTATGGACATTTCTGCAGAAGACAGATCAATCTCTCTGCTCTCTCTCTGTCTATCTCTCACTCTCTGTCTCTCTGCTTCTCAAATACATAAATATGAGCCACCTTCCACTGTCTCCAAAGCACATAGCACAGTTTAGATTGGAAGTCGAGTTTGTTAGGAATTGAATCGTGCTCTGCTGTAGGTTGCCACTCTCTAGCTCACTGCCTATACTGCTTCACCAAAATTATCTGAAATTAAAATGTAAGTGCCCCAAATACAATGTTGCTGGAACACAAGCCCACCCATCAATTCATGCATCGCCGATAGCAGCTATCGCTCCACAAGGACAGAGCTGAGCAGTTTCGACAAAGTCTGCATGGACCAAAGACTAAAATCTTCACCAGCTGGCCCTTTGTATGTCAGCTTGGGCACAGCTGTAACCTGGAGATGGCAGAGGTGGTAAGGGCGTTAAAATCCTTAGAAGCACCTGGCAGAGTGCTTGACACATGGTTCAACACCATCCCAACCATTTTATGCTGCAGCTCTTTAGCACTTCTAACTGAAGAGTGAGACCTGGGCATTGTCAAGATTTTGGTTGTCCTTGAATTAACAGCACAATTGGAAGTGATTAAGAGAGGTACAGAGAAGCAGAGAGCAGGTATATAGATGACTTTCATCATGAAACAGTTGGGAGAAACCAGTGGCTGCAGTCTGATGTCATAATCCAAGACTCAACTGAGTTTAAGGTTATGGGTGATCATCACTTTCTGTAGAAGTAATCTCATTCTACCATATTTTATAGCTAGAATTGCAGGGACTGAAATGCCTGACATGCTTGCAGATACCTGTAAAACGCAACCATCCAGTGTGTTTTGAAAAGTTTGAAAAGAATGCAATATTCAGGAAGACTGTGCAAGCAAGAGCAATACGATAGTGCTGGTTGAAAGATATAGTAGACTCCTCCTTGTGTAATGAATGTATCAGATGAAAAATATTGAAATAGAGTAAATTGCACATGCAGCCCCCATACTAAAATTCCAGAATAATGGCCATATCTAGAGAAGCATTTATTTAAAATAGCATGTATCTGAAGCCTGCATTTAAGGAACCTCCAGGGGCCAGTGCTGTGGCGTAGCAGGTAGAACCGCTGCTTGCAATGCCGGCATCCCATATGGGCACCGGTTCGAGCCCCGGATGCTCCACTTCCCATCCAGCCTAGGAAAGCAGTAGAAGATGACCCAAGTCCTTGAGCCCCTGCACCTGCATGGGAGACCTGGAAGAAGCTCCAGGCCATAGCAGAGAGCTGGATCATAAGTGGAGCCAACTGGGACTCAAAATGGCGCCCATGATTTATTTACTTTTTAAATGTATTTGAAAGGCAGAGTGACAGGCAGAGAGTCAGAAACAGAGAAAGAGAGATCTTCTATCTGCTGGCTTATTCTCCTAATCACTGCAATTACTAGGGCTGAGCCAGGCCAAAGCCAGGATCCTGGAACTCCATCTGGCTCTCCCATCTGGGTGGCAGGGGCCTAAGCAGTTGGGCTATCCTCTGTTGCTTTTTCAGGCACGTTAGCAGGGAGCTGGATCAGAAGCAGAGAGGCTGGGACTTCAACTGTGATGGCAAACTTGCAAGCAGTGGCTAAACCCACTGTACCACAACACTGGCCCGATGTTGTATTATGTCTTATAGCATGGCTTTATTCACTTGCTTTTATATTATTTGACTGGTGGAGAGAGAGAGAGAGAGAGGAGACAGACAGATACCTGTTGTCTGTTGCTCATTCCCCGAATGCCCACAATAGCCAAGGCTGAACTAGGCTGAAACCAGGGGGTCCAGAACCCCATTTGGGTCTCTAACATGGGAGTCAGGGATCCAAACATTTGAGCCATCCTCTGCTGCTTCCTAGAATGCATGCTAGTGAGAAGCTGGATCAGAGGCGGAGTAGCTGGGGCTTAAGCCAAACACTCCAAAGTGGGCATCCCAGGTGGCAAGTTAACCACTGTGCCACACACCTGCCAAATAGTGTCATTTCAACGTGCCTTCTGCTCTCCTCCTCCCTGAAAAACATTTCATGCATCACAAATTAATCTTTGCGGACACATTCTTAGAGTCAATAAATCACAAGACGTAATAAAAATGTGATCCTGAGAGGTTTATAAGTCTAATCTAATTAGTCTATTTCAATAATTCAGATCATCCAAGAGAAAACAAACGCAGTTTAAGAAAAATGCAGGGAGTGGGCGCTTAGACTAATGCATCTCTGCTTGGAGTGTCTAGGCTTTGATTCCCATCTCTGGCTCCTGACTCGCGCTTCCTGCAGAGCAGATCCTGGGAGGAGACACTAGTGGTTCACGTGGGTCCCTTCCACTGACAAGGGAGACCTGGATGGAGTTCCTGCCTCCCAGTTTCAGCTCCAGCTAAGCCCTGGCAACAGCGGATTGGAGCTCTATGTCTGTCTCTCCACTTCTGAAATTTAAACCTTTTTTAAAAGTGTGTTTGACATAGGAAATACTTTTGCACTTGGTTTTCCCAAAACATCTTTGCAGTTAGGTTTTCCAACACTGTTGCTATCCACAAGCACTAGATCACCAATGGCAACCAAAGACTCCCTGAAGAATCTGCCAGCCCATAATGCCTACCTGGGCTTGAATGATGGTTGACTATCTATCTGTCTTTAGTCAGAATCCTGGGAAGAATGATTTTAGCAGTCAGGGAAAACCGATGAAGAATGAAGAGAAGAGAACAAGTACTGGTTGAGTGCTTCAGTGTCCTTGTTATGTGCCCAACTCTGTCCACGCCGTCCTCACAACAGCTCTTCCCATGAAGCATTAATGGCCCCATTTCACAGGCAAAAGACAAGAGGCTCAAGGGCAAGGTGACTTCTCCAAACAGCTGAGAAGTGACAATGCCCCTTAGTTTGGTGTGCGGATGGCACCAGGAGAGGAGGAAGCCCCTGGGACCTGCATATTCAAGACACTTGCTTGATTCACTCCCAAGAACACCCCAGGGGGAAAGAGGGCCCTCCCCTTCGTTCCAGGTTACATGCAGGAAGCATGGCTTCTAAGAAGCAAGACACAAGGCCATTTTCATCACCTTTCATACACAGGGGCTTTTTAAAAACACTACTTCCTTGTTACCTCGTCACTTGTCTTTTTAATTATAACCCTTGGTACCTGTGTGTGCCACAGATGAGCTGGGCTGTGCATGTAGATTATATAAACACATACATAGCTTTAAAGCTAATATGTTCTTTCTCTTCTACTTTCTAAACCATGCTGGAAGCCTCCTACTGTCAAGGGTCAAGTTCTGGAAAAAAGAAAAAAAAGCACTAGGTTGGAACCCAAGATGTTCACTGGGAAAGCCAATCACAAGAAAGTGATATGGAAACAATTTC